TATCAGATGTGGGTGTGAGTATGGATGCAGGTGTGGGTATGGGAGTAAGTGTGGATGCGGGTGTAGGTGTGGGTGTGGGAGGCCTATTCTTTAATAGTACCCACACCCATATCACATACCTATGCTCATACCCACACTCTCGAGTTGCTTTTACATTTTACACTTTCGAGATTTTCGAAATTTTTAGAGATTTCTATTTCTAGATTCTTGCTTTTCGAGATTTTGAACATGCGAGATTTTCTTTTTCTGGATTTCTGATTTTCGAGATTTTGCCTGTCGATCTTTTTCCTTTCGGGCAATTAACACTGATTCAAATGAACTTACGATTATGAGTTTTATGAAGTACAATATATTTGATACACATTGCAATTATTACAAGAGAAACAATTGTCATACAACTTACATCAACAATTAATAATGGTGCAGCTTTGACGATATCTAATTAATACGAATATATCAAATATTTGTTTCCTAGATTAACTTTAGAAACTCGTTGGGTGTCAGATATTTGAACCCTAGTCTAGGTCGAAACGTATATTTATAGTTGCAATGAAAGTTTCAAATAGAATACACATAGTCACTCTGTATTTATGTAATACTCTTCATTATTCTAGTTCCATGATCTGTAAATAATATTGTATCATTATATAATCATTCCTTAACTTGTATTTGGAATGAAATAGCTTTAATAATTAGGATTTCTTACAATTTTCGAGGAATTCAGTCATATACCTAGAATTTCATTGGATGGATTCATACTTATCTTCTTTATGTTAAATAATTGACGCACTACTGCAAAAAAATATGTGATAGAATGACAATACTTTATAGTAAACAATTTTTTTCTCTTATTGACTAATCTCATGCTTTTAGCTAGTACCATTTGCATGTCTATGTTTTTGTCACCTATAGATGTTGAAAGTGCTTTTGCAAAAAGTTTGTTTTTTTTGTTTTCTTCTATTTGAAATCTTGATTAATAACTCGTAGAGTTCAAGAAAAGCAAAATGAAAGGCATAAAAAATGGAATGTTCTTATTCGTTTATTTGGTTCGTTTTTTTGCCTATTGATTACCTTCTTCATTGTCTTTATATTTTTGCATGAAACAGAAAACATCAATGAACAATATTCTTTCCAGTGTATTTGTAATAATTCAATTATGTTTCTCTTTTATACAAATCAGAGAAATGTAGAAAGATGTAAAAAAAAAATAGAGTCGTATCATAGATGAATTTAGCCAACAAATCCATTTATGCTTCAATAAATAAATTATACATAATTTTAAGTACCATCAAAGTAAATACTTCAATAAATTAATATTAATATTCGAGTTTTTATCTTAACTAATACATAACTCATCTTCTAGCTTCATTGATCATTTTGTTTTTCGATTTTCATGCATTATTAGTTTTTTTGCTTTCAGTTGTTAATAGTTTCAATTCTGATATATAAAAACAAGTATTTTCGATAAAAGAAATGACAAAGTGATATCGATTCTGCAAGAAAAAAAAAGCATAACTTCAGAAATAAAGTACACATAGTGCTTTATTGGTGTTTCGTATGTAAAAAGAAAAAAACTTTGGTAAAAAAGCACTTTTCTCTGTTAAACTATTAAAATCCATGATAGAAAGTAACATGGACAAAACTAACAAAAAGATTTCTTTAGATTCTATGTGCATAGAAATGAAGAGCGTTAGTTATTAGCACAAGAAAAATACAAAGAACAAAACAGTCAATGTTTCTTTTTGACTCTTAGAGTTTGCATCAGAACGAGATTTGCAGAGAGTATATAAATGATATAGGATCCGAAAGATATCCATCCAGTTTGCCGAAAGTTGAAGAAAAAAAAGGATAGACAATATTGTCTACATAAAGACATGTGTGAATTGTCGTTCTTCGAAAACTTTCTTTATTGTATATATCATAAAAAGCGCTCCAAAATTTTCGAAAAACAAAGTTTAAAGTTTTAATATCGATGGAATTTTTCAAGGATAACTTATAATATCTTTTATGTCCAGAAAAGTTGATAGAAGATCAAAATGAAATGAAAATGGCACATAGACAGAACAAATGTTACAACTTAAGTTCTGACATATAAGACAATATCGATTCGATCACAAACCCTATGATATGGGTCTATAGTCTGTATATACCACTAATCAATTTTGAAGGTGTAGAGCAATCAGAGCTGCCATATCATTGCAAAAAATGAAAAGTTTTTGAACTTTAAACATTTGTCTGATTTTTTTCTAATTCTGACACTTTGTTCTCTTTTTTCCAAATTTTGTACGTTTCAAGACTGTAGCTTTCCAGTTCTGATTCTTCTCTAAATTATTACTATTGAAGTATACTAGATAAAATTTTGACATAAAAAATCTTTATTAGTAATGAAAATACAATTTGAAGAACTAAACATAATTATAGCAATCTATGATAGTTTTGAATACTCGAGTCTTGATAGCTTGCTCTCACTTGTCTACCAACTGAGCATTACACAGAATACCAAGGAAAAAAAAGCAAAACAATCGAATGTTGTACGATCGCTACACAAAATATCACTTGCAGATATTGACTAAAGTCAATTGTAGATGAAAATTTTAAATTAAACATAAATTTTACTATCTACATAAGGTGGATGTGGATGTGTAGGTGTTGATCTAGTCCTTCTTTTCACCTACATGCAAATTCACATCTCACACTCACACCCATACAATCACACGTACACCCACGCACTCACCTACCAAAACCCACTACGTTCTCACGGTCTTTGCCAAGCTTTTTTGTTTCAAAATTATTCTTGGAAACTGAGAACGAGTAGTTGACTCAGAACATGACTCATGCATTGAGAAGAAAAATGTGAAAAAAAATACTGAAATCAACTAGACTGCCATTCGACCTTCGCTCAAGTAGAAAAGAGATGGCTGACTGCATGAAGTGCAGCCCTCGATCCGTTACTTTTCGTTCGCTAAGTCACCATGCTGAAAATCTTTCTAGATATTCAAGACTAAGTTTTCTACTTTTATTTTCTATCTTTGATACATCTAATATTTCTTTTCTATTCTAATGTTGATTTCACTCGATAGAAAAGTTATTTCTTTACAACGCTGTCAACTTTACTATTGAGATAGAGTTTTCATCACAATAGAAAATTCAAAAAAGTAACATTTATAATTGCAATTTTCTACTTATCTACATATGCATATGAAAAACTATTCATGTAATTATATGTTAAACAAGATCGATGCGACTCTTAAAGGATTATAAATAAAAAGATGAAGAATTTTTCGTTTCTATATATGAATGATTTAGTCGTTATTCTCAAGTTTCATTTGTTTTGTTAGAAGCATCAAAAAATCTCGAACAAAGATGTTTTTTGACAAGTTAAATTTGTCCTAAACAAAAAAAAAAGAAATTCTGATTTTTGCATGATCGATTTGAAAAATAATGGCTACACAAGATTGCGTATATGTTTATTATTTAGAATAGTTGATTGCTTTGTTTGTTTTGAATTGATACAATGCAATAACTCTGATCGGCTGAAAAAGAACATTAGTTTCTTTTTACAAAATTTAAACATATTATATTTTGAAATTCTCTCGTCGGAATATTTTATAATATTGAAAGTTGTACAGACAGAATGTAAAATTTTATGGAAAATATTTTAGTATATTCATTTCTAAAACCAGTCTCAAGACCTTTTTATTAATTTGCCCTTCGTATTTGTAGAATTTAGCAACCATTTATCTTGTAAATTTTATGATGATATGTGAAACATCTATTTCAAAGACAAAAAATTGAGAATTTTGTAGAGAAGTAAATTTTCTATTTAATAAAATCTACATGAGAATTTAAAACAATTGTTAAATGCGAGAAAAATAGAAAATATAAGTCGAACATTTGCTGTATTATGGGTAATCCTTTGATCTGAATAAAGTAAAGAAAGAAAACAAATGGTTATTCTTAAAAAAAAAATTTACATAAAAAACAATTTAGTTTAATCCATTATCAATTAATAATGGTAATCTTGAAACTTGTTCGTTTCGGAAACGTTTTATCACAATTGAATCTAAATATAAATATATTGAAATAGACATGTTTCAATCTCGAATCACAAAAGAGACATGTTTCGAATGGTAAAAGAAACAAAAACAAAAAGAACAGTTGTACGATTCTTTATTGACATATAAATTACACAACCTATAAATGAACTTTGTCTGTTAATTTTCACAAAAGAAAAACTTTTCTCTAATTTTCCACATAGGAGAAAAACTCTATAACCAATAATTTTCAACAAAATTTTCCCTTCCCTTCCTATATGTGACAACATATGGATAGACTCTATAGAGCTATCCTTCTTCGAAATATTCGTATTATTTTCAAACGACTTCAATCAAAAGTTATAAATCGACTTTTTCTTTTATCTAAATAATTAGCTTTTCTACTTCGTTTTAATTTAAATCTAGTTATCTTTCTTATTTTGATATATGATATTTTCCTTGATTGTTATTATTATATTATTTTGAAGCAAATTGAAAGTCATTTATGAAATATAAATAATATGGAAAGAAGAAACAAAGCATTATTTGTCAAAATACAAATGAAAAGAAAGAATAGATGAATAGAGAAATACATTTGTGTATAAGATCAATTAATTCAATAAAGTATAAATCATCTTTCAAAATTTATATATATTTATTGTTTTACATAGTTTACAGATTTACCAAAAATATATTTACGAGAAATATTAAGTTTTATAAATCAATCGATCATCATAATTTTTTATATGTTCATGTCTTTTAATCTAATGTAATTTACTTGAGAAATTTTCAATAATTTAAATAAACGTAGAAATAGATTTATTTTTATTTATTTGCTTAAAAATTTCTAACTTCTTTTATTTTATGTACCTGAGAAAGACAAAAATAAACACATTAAAGAAAAAAAAAAGCTTCTGATTTCACAATAGGACCAAGATTACAATTAGTTCAAATGTTCTATTTAAATTAATGTTCTTGGCAAGACGTTGAATCACATATTAAAAATTTATATTGTTTTTCAACTAATTCTTGAAATATATATGATAATAAAATACCATATGAACTTCTTCCTTTTGATCCAATATGTAATCCAAGAGGCACAAATGCACTTGCTGTCCAGTCAAAAATGAAGTATAATGATCCAGAATCACCATTTTCTGCAAATTCAATACCTTCACTCCATTTAACTTCAATTAAACTATGATGAAGAATACCATCTATTGTTGCTGATATATCAATTGCTTCAATAAAACCCATCGTTAAACATGTAACTGCACCATATTTAAATATTGGTACTTCTGTTCGTCTATGCCTAATTAAAAGTGATTTTAAGGATAAAACATTAACACTTTCTGGATCACGTGCCCGTTCATCTGATGTATTCTGCGAGTTTTCATTGTTCGATTCATCCAATGATGAAGACATAAATGATAATTCAAGTGATGATTCTAATGATGATTCTAATGATGATTCTAATGACGATTCAGATGATGTTAAAAATTCATTATAAACATCACTAGATAATGCTATACAATCCAAATTTGCAATTTTACAATATGGAATTCCTTTTATTCTAAGCAATACAGCATCATGCTTTAATTCAATAATATCATCCCAATAAATAGATAAATTGTTAAATGAATTAATGTTACGTTTCACTACAATGAAATCTTTATTTACATTTTTTATAACATGCTTTGCTGTAAGTGCATAATGATGACAATTATTAATATCTTTTACAAAGAATGCAATACTACCTAACAAATTTACATCATTTTCGTAAATACCTGAACCATAACTTATATCATTATTACGTTTATCTAATTTCAAAATATCATCATCTGTCATTGGTTGATAATTAATTTCAATAGCATCATATTTTATTAAACTATACACTTGTTGTTTTTCTTTAAATATATCATCATCAACGTCATTGTAACTCATATTGTTAGTACTATTGAGTATTTGTAATCTAGCATCATTTGTCATATTGGATTTGCATATAAATTTTATTTTTTTTTTGTCAAAATCATAATCTGTTTCAATTTTCCATATGCCAAATTCACTATATATAAGCATTTCTATAATTCGTTCTTGAAATTTTTTTTTTAAATCATTATATATCATCAGTAATGTTCGCTTGTCACTAACACGATGTATACGTTGAAATGGCAATCCCATAGATTGTATTCTAATATGGATTAATTTAGATAACTTATGAATAAATTTCATAACATTTGTTTCTTTTATTTTATCTTGATAACATAAAACATATCGATCTTTTTCATTTTTATCGATATAACATTCATATAATGTACCATTTATCTCACAAAGAAATTTTTCATTCATTGTTAATAATCCCATTTCAACAAAAGCATGTATTGTTGGATATCCATAACCATCATTATTCGTATTGATAACATTAATATATTTTATTAATGAATATGGATCTTGTTCTATTACCATGTTAAATTTGAGTATATTTTTTGATATAAAATCAATCTAGAAAATAAAATCTAAAGCATATTTTCTTTTATAATCTATAGTTCATTCTCTAGCAATATATCCAAGTTCATAATATGTTTTTGAAAATTTTTCTGTATTTTATTAATTTTTTTTTTGCTAATGATATTCAACATTGATAACATGTTCTATTTCAAGTTGCAAAAATAAAAAAAGGAAAAAATGATGAAAGATTTAAATTACAAATGCATAAAAAAAAACAATCATCAAACTTTCAATGATTTGAAAAATATGACATGTGATAATTACTTTTTATTACAATTTCATAACAGAAGAATTTCAATCATTAATTATATTATGTTATGCTGTAAACACAGTTGTAAATGAGAAGAAGCTATTCATACAACACAATTAATAGTACGCGGTCTGGTGATATAAAGCAATCAGAGAAATGCCAATCAAAATTGAATGCTCTACGTGTGGTGACACCTAAGATGGGACTCTTTATTGAAAGCTCATATTTACAGCATATGAAGTATATCATTAATAAAGATTATTTATGAAGCCAAATTCTTCTGGCCTACTATAATCATGGAACTCACCTAAAATCAAGGAATTGATTTACCGACACCTTTCATTTCTACTTGTTCTCACACAAAATTAGTTGTACTATTCTCAAATTCTGCGTGTAGTATAGCACCATCATTTGTGTGGGACTGAACTTTCGCGAAAACAAAATATATAGGAAAATATACCTTTTGTTTCCATACGTTTTTATCAATTTTTTTTTGATATTCTGTTCAAACTATATGCATAATTGGATCTGTCAATCGACTTTGATTTGATGATTCATGCATTGATGTCAATAGACTATAAATAACAAAACTTGTTTCGTCATTTAGTCTGTGAGCTGATGTTCGATGATTCAGTCGTCAATTCTAAAGACATAGAGATGTAACACACTTATGCACTTAGAAATACACACGCTTTCCGGATAAAAAACCGCATTGAAATATAACCAATTTTCAATTTTGTGATTAGTAAAAATAGATATATTGGGTGAATCCTATAATTTGTGTAACACAGTCATCAGTATCGACATTATGAGTAGTTGAACGTGTTTTCCAGAAAGATCAACCATACAAATCATAAGAAAACTTTATGAATGATGAAACAAGTTTTATTATTTAATTGTGTTGTATGAATAGCTTCTTCTCATTTACAACTGTGTTTACATCATAACATAATATAATTAATGATTGAAATTCTTCTGTTATGAAATT